AAAATCATTCATTTTTTGAGCACACCAAGTTCCTTGTGGCCCTCATCTCATAGACTACACTACCCTTCTCCACTCCACAGTCTGTATTACTTCTACAAGTTGACCACAGTAAACATGAGAGAAGAGATTACTCCCAGTAAAAGGTTATATTTAAGGTATGGGAGCACCATTTTGAGGGAAGATGACAACTCAGTATCACCCACCATAACCACTAACAGCAGATGTCATATCATGTTGGATTGAAAATCTGGGGATGGAGGAAGCAGAAAGACTGTGACCTTATGGAAATCTAGCAGACTTATTGTAATTCTTATAGTCTCTCTTCTACCCCTAAGTAATAGTAATACCAGTCTTTGTTATGGACCTGCCTCTATTCAAAGGTTTCAAAGTCATTTCTGGTGGTTTTTAAAATCTTGGCCAAGATGGCTCATTTTCTCTGTTCCCCTGGACCTTCTATTCCTACAAAGGCTGGCCACCTACTCCTGAAAATAATTTTCTAGCTGCATAGTCTCTCCTTTTATGTTGTCTCTGATTGTTATATCTAGCTTATCTGTCATCTCTGAGCTGTGCTTACTCTTTGTGGTTTTCCAGGTAAAGATTCTTCTTTCTATGGCATATCACCCCAGTACAACAGGGAACATGACCTAGATATTTGAACAATATCTAGTAGTTATACTTCTCAACATCAAGATGGTTTGATCACTGCACACTGTTGAATTCTGTTAAACAGAACTAGGGATATTTGAGGTTTACTTGCAAGGTACACTACAGGCTGACAAAACAATTTGTAAGTCAGAAATAAACTTTCACCATAACTCTGGATAAACTTTAGGTATAGGCGATCAGGTCTAGATGCCTTTTCAAAATCTACACGTCTATTGACCAGGAGTGCTTGACCTTTTTTGAGTCATGGATCCCTGTGGCAGTATGGTGAAGCCTATGGCCCCCTTCTCAGAATAATGGTGGGGTTTTTTTTGTTTGTTTGTTTGTTTTGGGGAGGCAATCAGGGTTAAATGACTTGCCCAAGTCATACAGCCAGTAAATGTGAAGTGTCTGAGGCTAGATTTGAACTCAGGTTCTCCTGACTCCCAGGCCACTGTTCTCCCTAGCTGCCCCAGAATAATGATTTAAATGCAGAAAAAAAACAAACAGGATTGCAAAAGAACAAATAATGTTAAAATGCAGTTATTAAAAAAATATCTTTAAAAAACCAAGTTCATTTACCTGTTTAAGAATCCCTGCTTTAATCTAGACCATTCCTCATCACTTGGGTGGTAGGGTACATGGCCTACTGGCCAAGAATGCCACTACCCTGTCCTTACACAATGACTCTGTACTCTAATAATTAGACCTCATTGTGATTTACTTAGATACTTCAATGAATCTGTGACTGATCAATGTGGGTGCTCCCTTTGGTATAAATTACAACCTATCTGCATCTTCTCATCTTGTCCATGTCCTCCCACAAATTCTTCATAGGGTTCATCCAGTATGCTGAGGCCTTCCTCTAGCTCACATGATATTTTATGCATACCAATAAGGCGAGAAGACTGTCAACTAGTCATCTTTCACTCTTACTATATGACCAAACCCATCTTCTTTTAGGAGTCATACAACTTTCTGACAATGTACTTTAAACCACTTTTCCTGTGGCATCTTTCATAGGTAATATGTTTTAGCCTTCAGATCCGCTCATCCTCTGGGTGACCTTCAACTTAAGTTCCACAGAGACTTTGGTATTCCATGACTCACAGGGCACACATCATCAGTGGAAGAATATTGCTGTTCAAAAATGAGTCTTTGTTCAGGAAGATGTTTGAGATCATTAAGCCATAGCACAGTTTTCCCAAGGCAGTAGGCTCATTTCCCTCTTCCTTATCAATTAGGGACCAGCTCACTGTCCATTCAACAGCTTGCTTAGATATGCCAGGTTAGAGTTGCCTCAGTTATATGTTACAACTCCTCTTTTTGATTCTTTCTTCTAGCTTGGTATTGACTTTGATCTTTAACATGTTGATTTTCTGATTGTATACAGATAGCTGATTTTTAAAATGACTACTTTCAGTAATCAGTCATATCCTTTCTGTTAAAATATAATCAATTTCTTTTTTTTTGGTCACATTATTTAGTATTCAACATGCAAAGTATATTCAAATTATCTTCTTATAGGAAGTGTTCATGATATTTATACCTTTGGTTTTCCTAGTGCCTTACTGCTGAAATCTGTTTTCTAATGAAAAAGAATTCTCCTCTCCTCCCTACCTCAGTTGCTCTAATCACCTACAGCACAGAATGTGATCTCAAGGTGTTAATGAGCTATTAAATTAACAATATAAGATTGATCTATGATTTGATCTCTTTATGAAATGGGAACAAATCTCTGATTGGACCAAATTGTCTCAGTGATTGGCTGAGCAAAGGGATTGACCATGCCTCTGGGCTCTTTAAACAGATTATCCCTGGATGAATTTCAGTAGTTCCAGTTCAAGGGACTTTGTAAGCTTGGAACTGCCAGTTAAGGAGAAACCCTGTTGGGAGGGGAAAGAGAATTTCTTCCTTCCCATTCTCCACATTGGAAATGTAGCTTTGAAGAGAGCCAGTGGACCAGAAGGCAATACTACATCCAGCCAGGAGGAGAGACACACACTCTGACAGACACACACACTGAGCCATTGTCACCAGAGGGAGTAAGGAGATTCATGGAGTGTGATCCCTGACATGTGAGAGTCAGGCTATGGAAAAGAGCTGACCCTGGGGACCCAACATGAAAACCCTACAATGAAAGAGGATATTTCCAGGCTTTATAGAACTAGAAGTTTGAGGTGCTTTTGCTAGACATGCATCCTACACTTGTGCCTCATTAACATAACATGCTAAATTTGAGCCTACTCTTTTTATGGATGATATATATATATATATATATATATATTTATTTGTGGGATGGTGTACCCCAGTATTTTGGAAGGAATGTTTTATAGCTATTATTTTTGCTATGCTGCCTTAACAAATGCTTTTACAAAGAGGTAATGATCTACTGGCTGATTATTTATGGGAGGCACACTGGAAGGGGCTCATTATCTATAGTGTTAGGGGTACAGACACACCCATAGAGTTGCCCTTAGATCTGGTGGTGGTCGCTGCCTTCTGCAGACCAATCTGTGAGCACTTGTGGAAATTGGGGGAATATTTCTTTTTTTTGGCTAGGCAATGGGGTTAAGTGACTTGCCCAGGGTCACATAGCTGGTAAATGTTATGTGTCTGAGGAGGGATTTGAACTCAGGTCCTTCTGAACCCAGGGCTGGTGCTTTATCTACTGTGCCACCTAGCTGCCCAGGGAATATTCCTTAGGGGGTGCTCCATTAACATTTCCATAAAATTACAAAATTATAGAATCTCATTTTGCAGGTGAGGAAATTGAGGTCCAGGAAGGTTAAGTGACTTGTCCAAGGTCACAAAGATAGTAAGCATCAGAAGGTAGATTTGAAAGTGGATACAAGATGGTATTATTCATTCAACAAATATTGGTTTATCACCTACTACATGTATGCTATTGCAGTATACATGGATCTATTTGTCAATTAATTAACAAGTATTAATTAGGTACTAGGCACTTCAGCATAATACAACTAATTTGCAATATTTTGGGGGAAGGCGAAATTTATATTCATATTACAATTAAGGAAAAATACAAGTCTATGTAGAGTGCTAACCTGAGTATAATCTAAGGAAAGCGGATTTTTACCCCAGATTGCCCTGGTCAAGTGGCCAGTTGTATAGTGGAAGAATCAAATTCACCCAGCAATTGACTTTAAAAACTTTTTGGGGAAACTAGTTATTTTTAGGGACTTTTAATGATGATTATAAAAAGTTAAGATATGGGACAACTGAATAAGTACCAATTCTGAGTAATTCTTCTAGGAAAGAAATGAGCAAGACACTAGTAGTGACATATTAACTTCATTTACATTTACTTTCAAGTTTGACAACCTTTATTATGATTTTTCCCCTTTAGACTGAGTCAAAGTCTGACTATTTTAGTTTTTAAAAAGTTAATTTTGCATGTTAATATTGATAAGACCTTACTAAACATTACATGGGACATTATTAAGGACTTCATAAAGATTTTTACAATTGTTATTCACTTTAGCTCATTAAACTAAATTACAAAGTGTGTAATTTATAACAGTAGTTTTTACCAGCTCCTCGACATCCTTTCACAAAATTTCTACACTTAACACATGGGATGTCTGTCCAGTTGATGCATTTCGTCCTTTCTGAGATAGCCATTTGAGATCCAGGCCAGGGCATCTGTCCCAAGTTTAGTAGCTCAAGTTTGCTTGTCCAAGCTGCTTCCTGTTGTCCCATGCCAACTAGTTCTACCTGATTTCAGAGGTTTCTCTTTACCAAGACCAGGAGTTGGACACCCGACCCGATTTCAGTTTTCCCCCTTCTGTTGCTGGGTTTCAATTTTCCTCAGGGCATTCTCATGATTGCAACTTTGCCTGGGGCAGAATTGGAAAGTAGAGGAAAACTATATTAGAAGGGCGTGGGGGGGGGCGGGGGGGCGGTGTACGGCATCAGCTTCCCATCCTCTTTTCCAGAGACCTATTAGTAGGGCGAAGTCTGAGCTGTAAACTACTCGGCAGAGGACCGCGCAGCCTTCTGGCCTCCTGACCCAGACACGGACCAGGGGGTGGGGAGGAGGAGCGAGGAGGGCAGCAGGACCCCGGGCTGCGCCTCCCTTCAGTCTCAGTGGCTGTGGCCACCCGCCAAGAGTTAGATGCTTTCATGATCCGGAAATGATGAAAAAAGAAAGAAAGAAAGAAAAGTGTTTCTGAAGTGTGGTAGGAGGGGAGGGGAGGAAGAGAGAAGGGGAGGAACAGGGCGAAAGGTCCTCAGCGGGGGGTGCTCCGGAGCGCGGGGAAGGGGCGGGGTGCGCGGAGCCAGCGCAGCAGAGTCCGGGCTGAGACGTAGTCCTGGGAGCAGCAGCGGCAGCAGCAGCGGCCAAAGCCAAGGCCAAGGCCACGGCCACGGCCGCGGGACGGGAGATGCTGCGGCTCTCGGAGGCTCGCTAACTTTCCACTCTAGGAGAGGCAGGGGGAACGAGGAAGAGGAAGAGCGCGCCGGGCTCGCAGACAGGGATGCCGAAGTACGTGAATGAAGTTTGTTGGCTCGGCGGAGTTGGTTCGTGGGTTGCCCCCACCGCCCCGGGAGAGGAGGGGCTTTCACGTCCCCCCTCCCCCTTCTCTGCTCGCTCCTCCTCTCTCGTCTTCCAAACTCAAACTCTGAGCCTCTTCTCCTCTCTCCCGCCCCCTTCCCGAGCACCCACATATCCAACCCTTCTGAGCTCTTCCCTCCCCATCCCTAGGACTAGCAGAAACTTTACTTTGGCCGTCGAGTGACTGTGTAATAGTTTGCTTACTTCTTCTCTTTTTCAAATCAAAACTTCCCAAGGGGTGGGGCTTGGGGAGGGGAGCAGGGGGAGGAAATATTCCTGGTGGGTGGTGTGCTTTTCTTTTAAAATGTTATTTCTCTTCCCCCTCTCCCGCTAGCAGTAAGTTTCCCGAATGCAACACATAAAAGTCCTTTCATTTCCTTCAGGGTCGTCTGTTAGTTGTGACAGAGGGGTGTAAGCTCTATATATCTTGGTGAGAGGGCTGGCAGATGTCCCAAGTGGGAGAACCTCTTCCTTCTGGGCCTGAAGGGCCAAAGCATGGAGCTGAGTCTGAAAGCAGCTTTTTGATCTCACTCCCTGGGGGTAAGTTGCTTGCTTTAAAGTCTCTTTATAATTGTTGCTTTTTTTTTTTTTTAATTTGGCTAATACATTTAGGGATTGTTTGGTGTGTGTGGACCTGTTCTAACCTCTATAGCATTGACATTTCGCATGTAGAGAACTTAAAATTGTTACCAAGAAGACTATCAGCTGCTGCAACTTCTGTTTGTCTTTCTTCATGCTGGAGAGAAACAGAATTAATGAACTTCATTTTGAGGGCAAACACATATATAACTAAGATCCTAAGATCTTAGGATCATAGATCTCAAGCTGGAAGAGGAGCCAGAGGCCATGGAGTTTAGCTCTCTCTTTTTAACAGTTGAGGAAACTGGAAGCAATGCTTAGAAATGCCTCTCAAATTCCTCTATCCTCAGCAGATTTTGGAATGCTGTAGGTCTGTGAACATGTCTGTGCTCCAAGTTTGATCTGTTTGTCCTGGAGGCTGCCATGAAACCCATTTCCTAATTCTGGTTCCTGTGACCCATTTCTTTGAAGTGGCCCGTGCATACATTTTCACTTAGTCATTTGTTTTGATATATAGGTACCTTAAAAGGAAGACTTCGTAAGAATGAATTAATTCTCTTGTCCTGTACTCTTTGTCAAAGCAATACTTTTGCACTTGGGTAACTTCCAAAGCAGCCTTGTAAACAAGTTAGACAATAGCTTCCTTCTACTGGAGATAACATTCCTTGCTTTCATTTGTTATCCATAACATGGCCTGTGCTTTCTGATTTTTTTTTAACCCCATTGACAGTTCTGGTTTGAAGACCTCTGATAATGGATATCAAAGTCAAATACTTTTTAGAGTTAAGAAACCTAATCTAGAACTTTGACTTTCCAAGTTATAGCTGAACAGTTTTTTTTTTAATAACAATACTGTAGAGCTTGTCGGAAAGTTTTTTTTTTAAGGACATAGAAGAAAATGAGAGAGAAGAAGTAAATCAAAGCCTGAGCAAATAAAACCAGAAAATATCCATGTTTAAAGAAAAATGTTCTGGCATGGAAGACTGTAAAATTGAATTATAGTTATCATTATTTTTCTGTTCTAAAAAGTAGACTCATAATTTTCTAAACAGAGAAAATAAAAATGAATTAGCTACAAAAAAGTATCACACACAGAGAGCTGGAATGATAAACAGGTGTTTTTCCAGAAACAGTCTCTGTTCTACACATATTATTGTCAACAGAATAATTTTCTTGTCATTAGGCATGACCTTTATATTCATTTCAACTAATCAACATGCTGTTTATACTCAGACATGGGCCATTCATCACCTTAAACAATGTTTTTGTCATAAACCCAATTTGGAACTTTTGAAAAACTGTTATTTTAAAAAATTACCTTCTAGATTATTAATCCTTATTTTAATAGTGTGTTCTTGTTTTTATTTTTTAATTGTCCTCACAGTAAACTACTATAAGAGCTTGGAATGACAAGTTCCTTCGCCTGCAGAGTGGGTCATTGTGAGTGTCATATGATCAGAGCCTAAGGATCAATGCAGTACTTATTGTATGATGTTTGAGAATAGACTGTTTAAAACTCATTTGTTTAGTATGTGAACTTGATTTTGATTTTAATTGAAAATTAACTTACATATATTGTATTTCTAGGTTGAAGTAGAGAATATCTGTATAGAGAATTTTCTCCTACTTTGTTTCTCATGACCTCTTATAGTCTTTTCCTTAGGCCAATCCTCTGAAGTACAGATTAATGAATTTATTATAGGAAGTAGCTGAAGTTAACTGAAGCTTTATTTAAAAACTCCATGCAAATATAATCTTAGAAATAATAATAGCTTATAATTATATAGCATTTTTAAAATGTGCTAAGTGCTTTAAGTGTATTATCTTATTTGGTCCTTAAAAACCCTGGGAATTAGGTGCTATTTTTGTTCCCATTCTACAGATGAAAAAAATGAGGCTGAAACAGATTAAGTGACTTGTCCAGTATTACATAGTCAATGTCTGAAGCTGAATTTGCACTCATATCTTCCTGACCTTAAGTTCAGTGCTCTCTCTACTAAAATACTACCTAGTGGCTTCTTTCTTAAATAATGGCAAATACAAGGCAGACCTGAAATATTTTATGTAACTCAAAAGTTATGTCAGCATAAAGGAAAATCATTTAGACCAAATCTATACCTTACAAAAAGTGAAACCTGTATTTAGATAGTCACAAAATCTCTTTCTATATTTTAACATTGTGCAGCATGATACTACTAACTGTTGGTTGTTGAGTCATTTCAGATGTGCCAGACTCTAAGTGACCCCATTGAGGGCTTTCTTGGTAAAGATACTGGAATGGTTTGCCATTTCCTTTACAGATAAGGAGTTGCAAACGTGACTTGCCCAGGGTCACACAGCTAATAAGTGCTTGAACTGTACTTGAACTTAGGTCCTCCTGACTCCAGGCCCTGTGATCTATCTACTGTGCCAGCTAGCTGCCCCCATAATGAGGCTTTAAATGTAGTTTGGAGCCAGTTTATGGAGGACCTTGGCTAGGAGTTTAAATTTTATCCTGGGAGCAAGTGGGAGCTACAAAAGATTTTTTAGTAGGATAGTGACATAGATTAGTGCCCTAGGAAGATTATTTTGGCAGTTGCATGAAGGAAGGATGGGTCTGGGTAGAGGGAGAAGCCTGGAGGCAAGGAGACCAATTAGGAGGCAGATTCTAGCAGTCCAAGTAAAGAAAGATGAAAGCCTGAAGTAAGTTGATGGCATCGTGAATAAACAGAAGAGGATGGATATGAGAGACGTAGGATCTAGAGTACTTTCCAACAGATCGAATATGGGGGATAATGGAGGCAAGACCCAAAGCTGACTCTAGGTTTTGACCTTGGGTGACTGGAAAAATGTTGGTGCTATGATATCTAGAGGTGATTCTTTCATACTTGGAGAAAACTTGAAAAAACTTATGTTTGCACAAAGATAGGGACATGTCCTATTCGGGGGCCACTCTAATAATCTTTACTTTTTTGATTAAAATATTTTTTGAATTAAACATGTTATAAGGGAAAAAGTAAACATTACAGATGACTTGATATTAGTGATGGATCTGGGCTTATGACAATCACTTAGTCAAGTGCTTTCCTTTATAAAGCAGAATAAGTCCAGGAAACAAACTTAAGGTTTATCTTAATAGTGAAAATGACTGATTTACATTTCTGTAGGGCTTTAAGTTTTACAAAGTGTTTCCCTCAAAACAACCTGGGGTAATTATTATCATCCCCATTTCACAGATAAGCAAACTAGAACCTGTGGTTATAGAGCTGGTGAGTCTTAGTGCTAGAATTTTAAACCAGGTCTCCTGAGTCCACTGCTCTTTCCACCATTCCACACTGAAACCCAGAGAGGTCAAGAGATTTTCCCAAGGTCCCAGAGCTAGTTAGTATATTAAGAAAAGGTAATAAGAATAGACTTTTCAAGTCATCTGATGTGTTTACTGGGATAAATGTGGAGAAACAGGAAATCAATATTCTAGTTTTTTAGTACTATTATATTGAGGATAATACCATCAGAATATTTGTGAGCCAGTCAAACTTATTCATGCGTTGTTTTTTTTTTTTCTCCCTGATGCTTTTGCCAAGCCTTTAATATGTGGACTCTAAGTACTGAAATACACGATAATGTGATAATATGTGATTTAATGCGTTCTTCTCTCTTGGGAGGATCCTCTGAGACTATTAGGCGGACTTTTCATAGCAGGATGCAAAATGCCAATGAAGTTAATTAAAAATAATCTGAAATAGAAGCTAGGGAGCAGGTTTTCAAGTTGGAATTACATAGAAAAAGCTTTATTTTAGATGTGTAGTTTAGATGTCCAAGACTTTTAAATACCTAATGAGACTTCCTGGGAGAGAATAGTTCTGATCACTATATACACACATTTATCTATATCAGATCATAACATATATGCATACATGTGTATATATATATCATATGTATATGTGTATAGATTCCGTTCGATTTCATTCATCCGTTTGATTTCTATAGCACCATTTCTCCATAGAAGTTAAAGACCTGTACAGAATTAATTTTGGTCTTTACAAAGGAATGTTAAATCTAATGCCTTCCAAAGGAGATCAGTAACTTTGTTTCTTATTGCTTCTGACTTCAGAGCCCAAGTCAATCCACATGACTGAGGACAATATACACAACAAATTAAGTCCTTGATTTGAAAAACTGGGTGATATTCCAAAAGTTTGTTATAAATTTATCTTTGGAATTTTAGAATTAATTTTCCCATAGAAACATTTAACTTTAAAAATTCTGATTCTGTGGGAGATTCTAATGGTTTCTAGAGAAATTATTATATCATATGAAACAGAAACATACCTGGACTTCAAGACCTGGACTTAACTACCCTTGTGAAAATAGACATGATGTTTAACCTCTCCAAGACTCAGTTTCCTCATTTATTAACCGGTTATAATAATATTTGCACTATTTATCTTGCATACATTTCCTTCCCAAATTACCTAGTATTGGGACAGCTAGATGGTGCAGTGGATAGAGTACTGGCCCTGAAGTCAGAAGGACCTGAGTTCAAATGCGGCCTCAGACACGTAACACTTAGTAGCTGTGTGACCCTGGGCAAGTTACTTAACCCCGTTGCCTGGCCAACAAACAAAAAACAAACCAAAAACCAAACTACCTGGTATTTAACTACTTTGTATATATTTGGATTTATAAACTTTCTATTTATGTGGTATATACTTACATATGTCTCCTCAGTAGGTAAACACCTTCAAAGTGGGGTGTTTCATTTCTTTGTACCTGTATTTCTAGTGCCTGACACAGTGCTTGATTCAGAGTAGGTGCTTAAAAATACTTTTCATTGATAGGGAAAATTTAAGGAAAGTTCTTTGTAAAACTATAAAACACTTCAGTTAAATGTGAACTGTAATTAGTTTGTAAAAGATGTGAACTGTAGTTAGTTTGTAAAAGATCATCCTAAAACATACTATACATTTTGATATAAAATT